TTGCTTGATCTTCCTATAAAAGCCATCAGTATGTGAAGTTGTTATCATCTTTGTGTACTTACTCTTGTGTAAAAGATAGTGTGATGACCTCTAGCAGCTAGTTCTTCGAGGATCTCTAATACCCAAACGACATGAGACGATCCACCCATGCTACAAGCAAATAGAACATTCTTTGGTTCACGGAAGTTAGCTGCCAGATCAAACGTTTCTTGAGCTGATCCAATAGTCAATTGGCTTGCTGCAGTAAGCAAAGCAAGTGTGATGGTAGATAGCTTCATTAAACAGACGTATGAATACAATAGAAAGAGGTTTCACTCCTTTTTTTTCCATCTGTCTTTTTATATTTATGGCTGTGTTTATCTTCTTGGCGGAACACTGCCGGGGACGGAAGACGGAGAGTATTTTTCCGTGAATGACAAAATTAGGGATGGCTGCAGTACAACAAACATTAAGTACCTGAGTGATATTGAATAATACACTTCTTCCAGAAAGAGATGCCGGGCTGACTTATCGCTTTTTCGTCTAAATTGTATTATAAAAATTGCAAAAATGCAACTTTACTTTCTGAAAAAGACTGTAGCAATAACAGCATCCAACAGTTATGAGCAATGATCAGTCACTTTATGTTGGAGAAATCCTGTCGTGCCGATAGTTTAAGAAACAATATGAGTCATTCGTATAATAACGGAAGCATGCCCTTGATAATGAACTTCTGCACAAAAGTCACTCAAGGCTGCGCCCGATTAATGTGGTGTGTGTCTAAAATTAGTTAAATTATAATTCACACAAATCGTCCATACAGGTTGGCAAGCTGCACAACAAAGGATGAACAATGTCCGTAGAACCCCGCAGGTAGATAACCCCGAAAGATCCCTGAAACCCGTCACAGAATACCTTTTTTTTTTCATTTACAATACCATGCACAAGTAAATCGTAATGTCCAAAAGATTAAAAGAAATAGGAAGCTTAACCCTTTGTTTATAAAGAAAATCAAAAGCGCAAGATAAGAAGCTAGTAAGTCTTAGGCCAGATGTCGATAGTGATGATGAGATTGATCAAGAAGTACAAGAAGAAGCTCAGAAAATGGATGCTCTCATGCGTCAATTACTAGGAAAAGAAGAAGAAGAACAAGTAGGTAACGAGCAGCTAGAACAAGATATAGTAGCAGGTATAAATACACGCATAAAAATACTCGTCAAGTACTGACTGCCTTTTAAAGAAGAAGAATTTTCATTTCGGTTATTCGCACACCAACCTTTGGCAAAGGTAGCTATTGCAGAAGACACAAAAGATGATGATCAAGCACAAGCAGTAGCAGATATGCAGCAATTAGAATTTGATGAATATGATCCAGAATTTATGGCTAGAGTAAAAGAAGCTGCGATTGACTATAAGGATATTCTACGACAATCTACTGTGCCTTATCCAGCTATGCAATTTCCTCATCGAGTGATAGATATCAATAATGTAAACAAGTCAATCACTGAAAAATCAAAACGAAAGAGAAAAAGCAAAAAGCATCGTGATTTTGAAAAGAGGGTCAAGGCAGGAGAAATCAAAGCACAGCCCAACATGAGAAATCCAGATACACTAGGAGGATGGCCAGGCTGGCCAGGTCAGTTGACACGAGTGTCGATCATCAATTATATAAGTCCAAGGAGAAAAGAAAAAACGCTTAATAAGCCACGATCTATGAATAAGTCCTTTTCAAGAGGAGGAGCAAAACCACAGTTTCATTTGAAGAGACAATACAACAAATAAAAATAACCTAGAAAGGATTTTTTTTTTTTTGCTTCTGCATTACTAAACGAACTGACAGGAATCTATTTAGACAGTAAAGTGCAAGGCATAATAGGGACACATTTAAATCACCACCGAAATGATAACATAAGGATCTCAGGACCAATCAAAGTGGCTGTGCGGTGGCGCCCTCACTGTCAAAAGTTCCTCCTCGCGTCAACGAGAGATGCCTTGATAAGATTTTGTAACCTGATTCAATATATGATATCAGGATTAAACAAATGTTTATGGCTGCATTAACATCCCTTTGCCAGACCTGTTGTTATTCTCGTTAAGGCCATTTTCGCTTGTTTTATGGACAAGTGCTTACAGTATCTTGACCATTACCAACTGAACACAGTCTGCATTGTTTCAACTGGTAAATGGCAGGTAGGAAACCTATAGGCCTAGCTTAGCACTAACCAAACTTAACTCCATATATTATACGACTTACTGCTTGGCCTTCTTTCTGAACACTGTAATGTTTGACAGATGACATGATGGTCATCGTCTAAGCATTGTTGTGCAGCATTCTTTTTTCCTCCTAGACGTAATTGTTTTTTTCTTTTGGAACATAAAGAGACTTCATACCAGCAATTGCAATTTAATCATATCAATTACATACCTGTGATTGTACACTAGTGTCTGTGTTTCATGCTTTTGGTCCAACTTCCTATGACACTTGCAACAAGTAATACTTGTTCGAACTTCATCGACAGAGATAACAATTGCTTTTTTTGCCAGTGCCCTTTGTGTCCTCTGTGTATGATCAAGACCATTAGTACGTATGATTAGCTAAAAGTTTCATATTAATATACCTTTTCTAGTATAGGTGTATGCCCCTTCTTCGTTTCTGATAAGCTTACATTGTCATACGCAATCACTGTTCTCCTGCCATCATCAACCTGGTTTGTTTGATTGCTCTTTTTAAAGGATCTCCTTGCTTTCTGTCTTGTTTTTGTGCTTGTCCTATGTGCCAGCGTGCAAAGGGCTCCAGGAGATGTTTTCACCAGCATAAGCTGGCACATGTAATCGTCTGTAATTTGTCGATTACTATACAAATATCCTTTTGTTTCACGATGATTGTATCCCTTCATAAAGCAAAATATTCTATACATTGCAAGAGTTAAGCATGGTAATAATGATCATACAGCTACTTCCTTTTTGCGATATTTGGATAGTACTTGCAAATAATCTAGGACTGAACTGCTGTTCCTACTGTCTAAACTCGGTATTTCATTGTATGCTACCTGCATCCCAGCAGCCGCTCTATTCTTTAGTTCTACTTGCTTTGACCATTCAAAACCTGAGCGCACCCTAAAGAGATATCAAAATACTATTGCAAAAGCAAATACATACTTACTTGTACTCATTGTTCGAAAACTTTACTGTTCTTTCCTTCACCGTTTTCTTGCTGTTGACATCTTCTGACAAGCCATTTACCATGACGAAGATATCACGAAGCCCTATATACGACATAAGTAACCGATTTAATTATGACCCATAAGAATTGAGTATGTCACATTATTAGCTAATAACGTGTTTTGTTGTTAGCCTCTTTGCATTATTCATCCTTAGAGTATAGATTTATAGTAATCTCATACGACAAGATTAAGTATTTATAGGGTAGATACGACATGGTCATTAGGATTTTGTAACCGCGTGTGCTTCTTTTGTTGAATGTGTGAGGAAAGGGACTATCTACACCATATAGTGAGACAGGGGTAAAGGAGTGGGATATGTAGTTAATAAGTGTTCTTGAAAAGAAAGTGCTGATAAGCTTGAAGGTGCCTGTTGTTGTGAGGAACGGAAGAGTTGAGTCTTTGCGTGGTCAATCAAGAACATAAAGTAATTCATAAGCCATAGCTCAGTCAATGGGCCATAAGTACCCAATCAGACGAGCTTACTAATCACATTGGTTGCCTATGACACGTAATGCACTGTAGTAATGGTCAACGATACAGCAAAATGAGCCAAATTATACTGTATTTTTATTAATTATTGACGTTAGTTTTATAAAATATTGTTGTAAAATAAAAAAAAATATTTTCGTAAAAAGACGACAAAGAAAAACACGTTTGAATAAAGCGACATTATATCAAAAGAGAGAGAGATAATGAGTATATGTAGAAAAAGAGAGAAAGAGTATGTTAGTATTAGAGCACATATCCTAATATTAGTTTTACTTACCACCAAGGTGCATTCTGGGGAGGGTAGCGATAACTATCCAGGAGAAGTTTAAACAAAAAAAAGGAACGGAGGACAGAGAGAACCCAGGGCGTCAGAAGAGACTATTGGGGAACGTTCCAGATACACGCCAGAGAGCAAAGAGGACGGGACAAGCGAGTCAGAGCAAGGATCATGTGGCATTATTTTCGATCACAGGCGAATTTACTTTCCAGATTTGATGGTCGTACCTTCTGGCCCGATGAAGCTGCTGCACGAGCAACACAAGCAATCAAGCGAATACATGATGAAAATATCTATAGAGAGCGTCTAAAATCATCTCGCTCAGGTTAACGCAACCTTTATTTTGTTCCGTACTTCTATGTTCTTTATTATTTTCTTTAATAAGTACAAGCTAACTGGCGGTACTTGAATAAAGTATACCATTTTACAAAAAAAAAAAAAAAAATTTACTTTCCGGAAAGAGTGTATAACTTGCAATACGCTAAACGTATAAATAAGCTTCTCTTTTTCTTTGTACTTTCTCTTTATTGGAATGTTCAGGAGTAAATGAATCCTCACAAATGCTTGTCCTTGTCTTTTCTTTCGGTTTCTTTATGTCTTAAACCAATCTCAAGTTGCCTCATAAGCTTAGTATTGATTAATATGTATATAAGATTGAACAGCCCATGAGGTAATGGAACAATGAGTTGCTTCTCAGAGACTATGTTTCAAAAATTCAGACAAATAAACAGGATGAACAAGAGATTAATGTCAAAAAACACCGTCTAGATACTCTAAGGCAACAGAGCTTCCCTCAAATAAGTGATGGAAGTGAAGGGGCAGAGATGCTTTATACAGTCTTCAGGCGCTAGATTTCCAGATATAGGAAATCAAGAACAAGTGCAGCCTGACTGTTCAACACCGTCATACACCAAAGTACAGCAGATCAACTGTAAGAGAGCTCCTTTATATGGATAGAAACTTTTAGAACGATTGTTCAAGGCAACAGAGAAAATTAGGGGGAAAAGGGAAGGTGAATGCATCTGCAACTCCAAGTGAAGATGTTTTGCTCAGTTTTATCTAAAAAGAAGGTTATGCTTACATTCATTTTGTAAACTAACTCTGAGGAATATTCAATACCTTAAGGAACAAAAGATCAAAAGGAAAAGCTGGAAACACAGGTGTCGACAGCATAGTATGCATATCCTATGATCTTACAAATGATTTCTCTGCCGCCAACTGTGATACAAATAATCAAACATTGGACTTTAGCCGCCTGGGCGCTATCCAGCAAAGATATGCAAGTGCAGGTACAGAAAAACACAAATAAAGTCCGCGGCTTACCTGGAAAATGCATGGAAAACAACTTCGCAACAACGGCTCCTTCACCATTGATAAACTACAACAAAAAGTGAACATTTTATTATGGTGTGGGGGATAGGCTCAGACATAAATACTTTACAATCATAAAGTGCCCACTTCAAGTTTGATAGATATGGGAACTGTCGTATTTGACCATGTCTAATACGAATCTTTACGTGTGAGATTACATTTGACTTAATTACATGTACCTTAATTAGTACTCCGGCCTCTTTTAGTACAACCTAATTTCTTTTTGCTATGAGTTCTTCCTCCAACTTCTAATGAAAAGGATAAAGCAAAGGTTTATTACTTCTTTGCTTTTATTCTACCATTACCGACTACTAACAACAACAACTACAATCAATACCTCAAGAGCTTTACTGGTGCTATACTATTCATCAGAACGCCAAATGAATCTAAAGTGCATCATTCTATTGTGGGTAATACTATTCTATCAATCGAACTGCCCTATATCCTTACAATCTGCAGCACTATGACTTAGCACATGGTAATATTTACAATACGTGGGCATACCCTTCCAGTACGCATGAATAAAGCATGGAAGCCCCGTAGTCTTATCATTCTTAACCCAGGGCAAAACATGGGTCAGTTCAAAGCTGAGAAAGTTCAGGAGCGCGACCTAGAACCGTATATGCAGTTCCGATATATGAACAGGTAACAGTATGAGTGTGGACGCCTCTATCTCAGATTTTTCCATAATTACTAAGTGTTAAACGTAAATTTTCTAATAACAGGTCAGGTATCAACCAAGGCAACGTCTGCAGAGTGACACGCTTAATGATTGTGCCTGGCTTGCAGACATGAGCAGGTCAAATGATATATTGACCGTTATCGAATCGAAAGCTTAATTTCAGTGCTTCGTTTCGAAAGGCACCACAGTCAAAACTAATTTCTAAATAGCAATTATTTCCAGACCTGAGCATTTTGAAGCTAACAAATTATTCAAGCTGATAGAATGCAAGTTTGTAAATCTCATTATCAGACTCTCTTCGGACAGTAATATCAAAAAAGATAGAACTGGGTGACTAAGGTACGCCCAATAAGTGGTTTCGACAACCACTGGCTTGTTAATCGGTTGTTTAGATGTATCTTTGAAAGGTAGATGAGCTGTCATCATTGTTGGATCTATTAGATCTAGAGTGAATAAGACAAGTCCTGATGACTATAGGACGCTAAAGAGCCTTTACATAAGCAATGTGCGTAATTTGGCTTTGCGATCTAGCCGTAGTTTTAGGAAAACCACCTTCGTCGGGTGACTTAAAACTGGAAAGCGGAAGAACTACGATGAATGCGCTTTGAAATGATATGTCAAACGTAAAAAACTTTATTTTATTTAAACTATAAATAAAAAAGCGTGGCTCAGAGAGAAATGTACCACATCATTTGTGCTCATTTCGGCAAACTAACAAGAAAGCCACAGTATTTTATTCTCATTCCTCTTGCTGTAGTATCAATATGCTTGATCATGCTTTTTTGTTTCTTTGTTGACTGAATACCTTTAAGCCTTTCCATAGAATTAGTCATCCATATTCTTGCATTATCTGAAAATAAGGACCCATACGGTCCTGCCCTCGTTATGATACTCACTATGGCTGTCGTTAACTTGCATCTTTGTTATAGTCTCTTTGTGTCTATCAAGATTTAAAAATATAACTGAAAGTAAATATTTACTTTCCTTTCTAGTACACAACGATGGCTGAGATAAGAGTTCTAATAAACATCAGATGAACTAAATCAAGAGCTTGTTTCTGTTACGCGTCATGCAATTCATGTTGTTTCCTTCATTTATCAAGCATAAAAGAGTACCTTTTGCATGAGCTACTTTGTCATTACTATTTGTACATATTACTCAGATAACCAACCTATTGCTTGTTACACTCGATAGTACTTCTTTCATGCAGATATATTTATTTCTATATGAATTGTGCAGGAAGATCAACATAGCTTTAAATATAAAAGGAATATAAAAAGGGGACAAGTTTAACTTCTCTTTACTGTATTCATTCGTCTGTTTAATGAAGCTATCTACCATCACACTTGCTTTGCTTACTGCAGCAAGCCAATTGACTATTGGATCAGCTCAAGAAACGTTTGATCTGG